TACTGTTGATATAACATTTATAAAAAAAACTTCATCTTAATGGGAGGGATCGATGAAAGAATCGTTTCGTGGGATTTTGAACTAAAAACGATTGTTTATATCACTGTAATAAAAAATAAATATTGTTTGACAACGTTGTAGAAAGTAAAAACCTCTTATCCAAATTGTCAAAATGCAAATATCAGTTATAACACCTGTAGATTGTGTCTAAAATATTTGTTTGGTTTAAAACACTTTCCAGTCATAAAACTTCAGTTGTTAGTTAGGAAATTACGTCATTAATCATTAAAATCATTAATTTTGTAAACATTTCTTTTCGGCGTTAAAACAAAATTTTCTGCATAATTATGCAAAAATAATTACCGTGTGTATTTCTTTTAGAGAGACTACTTGGTGTCATGATAAGATACGTCGATATTTACGAAACAACCATTAAATAGTATATTACAAATATTCGTAATATAGAAAAACTATGTTACAGATATTCGTAATATTGATTATTACGCCTTTTTGTAATGTAGGCCTTATATTACACAAAGCTGTATATGTTACTATTTCTCGTAATATTACGAGTTTGAGTAACATTACGAATAACAATAATCGCCTGGACCGTTATCGGGAACCCTCAAAACCTTTTACGAAAGATATTTCCAAATGTCGACATTTTATCCAAAATAAGAAAGTAGATGTAAAATTATTAGTCCAAATAAAAAATACCAAAATTCTCATATTTGGAATCGAGTTTGATAAGAACATGTTGTAATTATGGAAAAGTAAAATAAGAAAAATACCGAACTCCAAGGAAAATTCAAAACGAAAAGTCCCTTATCAAATGTCAAAATCAAAAGCTCAAACACATCAGACAAATAGAAAACAACTGTCATATTCCTGACTTGGTACAGGCATTTTCAAATGCACTTACTGGATATATACATTATTTCTTAAATTTTCGTTTTGTCAAAATTATTCAGACATGAAGCTACGTTATGACTTTGAAAGACTCCACTTCATTTGAACTTTGGTGGATAGTTGTCTCATTGGAAATCATACCACATCTCCTTATTTTTATATTCATAACGTGATTATTTGTCAATGTTTGAAAATATTATATATTAATATCACTAATGAAGGCGATTTGATATATATGTGTGTGTATATCAACCTTATATAGATTTGAAAAGAAGTTAAATGAAATATAAAATAATTCGTTTATTTTGTTCGCTCCTCTGTTTCAAAATAACAAGCTTTTTAAAAGACTGTTATAAATTAATAGTATATTAATGACAGAACTTAAAAAGTAGAAAAAAATGACAGGTCCGTGTCCTTGTTTTTAAGATATAATCAATTGAAAATTTGCCGGGAAATGATTCTCTCTAGATTTTTCTTACATTTAACACTGGCACCTTTTTTCTTTTGAAAACTATGAAAACATAACAAAACTATATGCAATAAGATTATGAAAAGAAAAGTAGGGGTCTGCGGGCAAAATTGTTATTGGCGCTACATGTATTTAACTAGAGGATTCCGTATATCTGTCATAAAGTTCAAAACATGAGTAGCGAACATACTTAAGTTAAACACAATACATCTCACCGGCAACATGACGCCAAATTTGGGTCCGAATCATATGGCAATAGTAGTTCCTGAAGTCACGGTGTCAATAAAGAAATTCAGTTAAAATTTGCTTACCAGATTAAGAATTCGGTGGTCCCATGGACAGATAGGTCAGTCGAGGTCAATATTCCGGACTACGACAATCTTCACTGAACAAGGGCTACAACTCAAACTGGTATTTAATGGGGATTTTAGATACAATATTTTTGCTAAACCCAAAGTAGGTAATGACTTTATCTATTTATCTAAATGTTTTGTTTTATTCAACTCATAAATCAGTCGTTGGTTGCTATTTTTTTATTACATAATAAACATCGGGCACTATCTAATCTCCGTCTTCTCTATGGACATTCAGACCCATGTATTTATTTTTTATTATCATTTTTTTTTATTGCTTACTATTACTAGTACCTTAGATATCGAAATTTATAATATATAGAGATAATTAGCCACTTATCAATAATGAATGACATCATAAACGTCTCATAATCGTAAAGGTTTACGTAAACAAATATGTATATCTTCGTAATACTATAAGGATTACAACCACTCACAACTTCACATCACTCGCGACACAACACGCAACACTAAGGAAAAAATATTTAGTAAGATTAAAGAATATTATATATGAATATCACTGGTTTCAAAGTTTTCGCCTTTTACTTTCGATAGTATTGTTACGATGACAATAATTTCTCAGGTCGCATATACTTGTGTGCTCAAACACCATTATATACAAGACTTAATGAAAGATAATAATAAATGCATACCTATGTTGTTTAGAGATTTTTCAGTGAAGAAAGAACAACAGCTAGATTGAAATGTGCTTAAAGAATGCAGTTAAACAATCAGCTAAAGAAAAGCTATTAATTGGTAAATCTATATACGTCATGTTTTTTAATGTGCCTTACTTTAATGAAATTTTTTAGATACATTGGGAGGTAAACACATTTGATCTCTGGTGGAGAGTTGTCTCATAGACAATCATACCACATCTTCTTATTTTACATTGACCGTTATTCATTTTGTATGAATTGAAGCGTGGACTGTCGATATCAAATGTCACATGAAACATAAAAACATACACACAAATAAACAAAATACAAATGCATATTATACATTTATATACTAATGCGGTCTCTTGTATATATATGTGTGTATCAACCTCTTTTTGTTGAATTTATTATCCATGTGGACTTTCGATATCAAATGTCAAATGAAACATAAAAAACATACACACAAATAAACAAAATACAAATGCATATTATACATTTATATACTAATGCGGTATCTTGTATATACATGTGTGTATCAACATCTTTTTGTTGAATTTATTATCGTATTTATATGGAGGATGTATATATGTTTTTTTTATTTATTTGTATTATGACTGTTTCTGTTTTGTCTTTGTAGATATTCCAACATAGCAGCAGCCAGTGCAGATGTAATATGTGACGAATTTTTCCTTTATATTTACTTGTTCAATAAATTTAATAAACTCGAAACGATCCAGAAACAACAAGGGCAATCGCATAAACAATTTGAAGAAGAGAGGTAAAAGATACCAAACGTAAATTCAAACTGCTAAGTCGAAAATAAACTGACAACGCCATGGCTACAAAAGAAAAAGACCAACAAACAAACAACAGTACACAAAAACAACATAGAAAACTAAAGACAGAGCAATACGAACCTCACCAAAAACTGGGGGTGATCTAGGTGCTCCGGAAGGGTAAGCAGATCCTGCTCCACATGTGGCACCCGTCGTGTTGCTCATGTAAGTACAAACCCGGTAATAAATCTAATTCGGTAGGTCAAATTCGCGGAAAAGGGGAAGCGATTGTAGTTACGACAATTGGAACATATCCGATATCATCTGTGAAACGGATATTCCATAACGGAATTGAAGATTCCCGTACAATTATCGAACAGTCTTGGCTTAAACGACTGCAGACAGCATATCCCTGGGTCTAAATGACAATATAATGGGACAAGGGAACATATCTAAAACTTCTTTTATTGATATCATGAATATTGTTGATAAAAATCAACGTAATAATAGGTCTCGTGGCAAACGTCTCAATCGAAACAATCGAAATCGAATTAAACATCATATAAATTATACTCTTGATGATCTCCTATCTATATTTAAATACAACGGTAGGCATCAATTATTATGTAAACTGGACCAAATACCAATTAGTAAATTACATGATATTTTCAAGGAGTGTGACACAAGCAGGTTCTTCAGCCCACTCTATGAATATTCGCGTATAATTACAGCATTTTGCCACCATAGGATGTTCCTTGTCGATAAACCTGAAGATAATAAACGGCATTTTCTGAAAATTAAATATATTAACAGAGGTATTGATTTAATCAACTTAAATCGAGTATATCTAATGACTCTTCCATTCAAAACAGTATACCTCCTATTTTGATAACACAGAACTATCGATTATTTCGTATACATACAAAAAACCCTGCAGAAGTTTAATTTTCAGACGTCATTGAAAAAAATAATACTCCTCTAAATCGAGATTGTGCATCTTCGAATTTTAGATATGATCCCTATGGCCATTTTATTACGAGGGACCTCAATATCGTTCAAGACCGAGAGGTTATTAACATTTTTGAAAAATGGACCAAAATATCGTCTTCCATCTAAAATAGATTGGAAACAGTTTCGTCAGGCCATAAAAGGCGCTCTTTCATCGTATTGTAAAAATCGGTGTAAACCGGGAAAATCTGATAGATTATTTATTAGTTGTAATTGGCTTTCAACTGGCTAGTATTCTTATATCGGTGCTTTGTGTTTATTGTTTTTATGTTAGTTGTTTTGTGCTTCATACCAACCTATTAAGTTAAGCCAATTGAAACAGATTTTTACAGTTGATCTTATGTTGTGCTTTTACGCCACTGTCACGGGTTAGGGGAAGATTCAGCGCTCAAACATGTTTAACCCCACCACTTTCTTTACGTGACTGTCCATATTTGTTTTCGTGAATTGTTTTCAAATTCTTATGAATAAGCCAATTAGTTTTCTCGTTTGAATTGTTTCACAATGTTTTATAGCTGACTATATAGACGGTATGGGTTTTCTCGTTGTTAAGACCGTAGAGTGACCATGATTGCTCATATCCACGTCATTTGAACTAAGGTGGATGGTTGGGGCATTGGCAATCATACCTCGTCTCATAAAAGAGAGGCGAAAGATACCAAAGAGACATTCAAACTCATAAGTCGAAAATAGAAAACTAAAGACTGAGCAACACGAACACCCATGAGTTGCAGCAAATCAATTTACAATCTTATTTTTCAAGGAACATATGGCCACTAGAATGTTAAGAAAAAAAGGTATCATTCAAAGATGAAAAAAAAACTAATATAGAGATCAACTATAAATTTATTTAGTTCAGCTTCAATGATGAAAGATCCAGTTTGTGGTGCCACACACCATCTAATCTCTTTTCACCTGAAAAAATACAATTATCATTAATATTATTATCATATTATTAATATTATTATTATTATTATTATTATTATTATTATTATTATTATTATTAGGTAGTAGTAGTAGTAGTAGAAATAATAATAATTCAAAAAGTCAATATAATGAATAATCATTCTTTATGTTATTACCAGTAACCTTACGATTCTATCCAAAGTGTTGCCATTAGCATCTCTTTTTATTCTGTTAAATTCAAGCCGTCCGGGTGGTGGGATTCCACTAGCTGTCCCTGCTAAAACTGATATTACCATCATCAATATGGCACACAGAATCTTGAATATTTTCATCTTGCAGAGGATTTGTTCACCTAAAGGATATGTAATAATGTATGATAAAATTTTCCTGCGTATGAATTTCCGAATATATAACCTTCATCATATACGCTCAAAACATGAAAAAAAAGTTTGGAAAACATAATGTGCTGTATTTTAAATCACATTTAAACATATTTAACGGGAAAATATAGCTAAGCTGAAAATCGCTGCTTTTGTTTGAAACTTACATGATATAGTTGATATCTCCCTCTTTTTAAATGATCCTGCTCTCGTTCAGACACTGTAAATAAAATTTTCTAAATTTTCTGTTTTAAGCGTAGAAATTTTATGTGACTTTATATATGAAGTCAGAGTGATTTTCAATTCAAGCAGGCGCTTAAGACATATGTGACCGCCCATGACATTTTCAGGATTATGGAGATATAACGTCATTGTAAAAAAAAACGCCGTTAACTAAAAACGTTACGTCACATTAGTATTTGTGCATTGTACATCACATTTTTCTAATGAATAGTTATCAAATACCAAATAAAATGCTATACAGGTTCTACATTGTTTTTAAAACCTCACCAATGATACTATATTTACAATTTATTCACCATAAAATATATGTGTAACACTGGAACAGCCAATAATAAGAATACATTTATACACATTCATGAATGTAGCCTTACGATTTTTAGGGTAATTGTATTTGAATATGGTTAAATCTCTTTTCAAGTACTTTATACCAAAAATTACTTCTGTAAGTGAAAAAGGGTACCAAAGCTTGCCTAAAGCCGTGAGCTGAACGTGGATCAGCATATAAAATTAGTTTTGCAGCCCTTTCCTGGAAATTTATTATTTTTACTAGCTCATTTTTAGCACAAACACTCCAAATAATACAACAATAATCTATCAGTGGGAGAATGTAACCATTATAAAATAATTTTCTTGGATTAATATTTAGAAATTTTTTGATCTTAGAGAGTAAATGAAGTCTAGATGATATTGATGAACATAAGTAATTAACATGGCCTGTCTGTTACAGATTAGAGTCAATTCTAACACCTAAAAGTTTTTCAATTGATGATTTTTGGAGAATATTATTCTCAAAAGTAAGAACTGGTTCTGCTTGATGGAAACGCAGCCTTTGTGTTGTACCTATAACCATACATTTACATGCAGACTTCTTATACGTTCAGGTATTTCACATCCAATTTTTTATGGAAATATTCTTTATAAAGCACAAAAATGTCAGTATTCACCTCTGAAGCTAACAAAACCTTTAAATAGACTTATTAAGAAGGGATATAGTTACGATAATGTTGTCAGGTCATTAAAGATTGCATATGTTGGCGTTAATATTGATTCACTTATAGGGTCTTTGCATCGGCACTAAACACATTTATTTAAAAACCAGTTGTTGGCATGACACGGGTTATGTTCTTCTCATATATGTTATGATGGTATGATACTAAACCCCTAACGGGAAGGATTGTGCCTGATATTCATATGATGAAGACATAATCTTTCAATCAGTTTAATTGAAGTCTGGAGCTGGCATGTCAGTTAACTGCTAGTAGTCTGTTGTTATTTATGTATTATTGTCATTTTGTTTATTTTCTTTGGTTACATCTTCTGACATCAGACTTGGACTTCTCTTGAACTTAATTTTAATGTGCGTATTGTTATGCGTTTACTTTTCTACATTGACTAGAGGTATAGGGGGAGGGTTGAGATCTCATAAACATGTTTAACCCCGCCGCATTTTTGCGCCTGTCCCAAGTCAGGAGCCTCTAGCCTTTGTCAGTCTTGTATTATTTTTAGTTGTAGTTTCTTGTGTACAATTTGGAGTTTAGTATGGCGTTCATTATCACTGAACTAGTATATATATTTGTTTAGGGGCCAGCTGAAGGACGCCTCCGGGTGCGGGAATTTCTCGCTGCATTGAAGACCTGTTGGTGACCTTCTGCTGTTGTCTGTTCTATGGTCGGGTTGTTGTCTCTTTGACACATTCCCCATTTCCATTCTCAATTTTATTTAGTTTTATCCGAATTTATGAACATGTTATTTTCATGACATCATTTTTCAACATATTGGAGATCATCTTGTACTTTTAACTGCATATCAGCAATACTCTAGTTGTGTCATCAGCATAAAAGTTTGTATGGCAGTTTTTGATATATAATGGAAGGTCATTTATGTACAAAACTAACAAAATGTGACCAAGTATTGAGCCTGATAAATTTTTTATCAGAATATTGATTACTTAAATGGACTTGCTGTGTTCTTTCTTTCAAATATGATTTTAAAAAATCAACAGTATTGTCATGGAAGCCATCAATTTGAAGTTTTTTTTTTACATAAAACTTCATGATCAACAACATCAAAAGCTTTTTTAAAATCCAGGAGAACTGCCATATTGATATTTCCATTATTCATTTCATGTAGCCATTGATCAATGATATTAATGAGCATGGTTAGGTTTAAAACCAGATTGGGAAGGGTGTAAAATTTGAAACTTAGTCAAATAATCATACAGATGTTTAGAGCAAATGAAAAGGCCAAATCGTTATTAATTTACAGTGTAAATGCAGTTTATAGTTCTTAAAATGTTATAAAAGAACATTTTAAAGAATTCCACAATATTATGTAGTAAAATTATAAAATCAAACCGCATTCTGTTAGAACTTTAACAATTAATATTCTTGAAAACTTCACGTACTTTTTCAGTTTTTATTTTTGTTTAACATTTCAACATAACACTGTATCCCATTATACATACTTTTCAGCGCTATTGCCTTAATGAATATGTAAAGTATTTAAGTTTCCATACGAATGCAATCATCATTAAGAGAATGAGTCGTGTGAATGTTATAATTATGTAAATCCTATTTTTCTAAATGTAAGGAAATTGAATATTTTAAAAGTGCAATATCATTGAATGAGGTTAAGAATAAATCTATGTAGCAACTTTTTGTTTATTTGTTTTTGAATAAAAAAAACATTTTAAATACATTTTTTGGGGATAGAACACTACAATACACAATATTCTTTTACAAATCATTTCCAATTTTTGTATTAGAGATATACCATGGATTTTTTTAATTCTGAGATATCCCAAATTCTGTAACGCTTGATTTGCTGAATATGACTCAACGATTGAGTGGAAATAATTCTAAAAAAAAAATGCATAGTACTAAGATAATTTTGATAACAATTGTTTTAGAGAAGTAACATCTGAAAATACAACATTATAAAATTATTTTCTCTGAACTTCCAATGTCCAACTAGTATAGTTCTGACAAAAACTCGTAGAATGTAGAAATTTCGGTTGATAGTTGTATAGGGAGATAAACCATAGAATTTGTATCTCAAATATAAAATATCTCCATTTTTATCAAACATCGACATAGAACATTATAAGAACCATACGACGATTTGTTCTAGGTCCAGTCAATTAATGTAAGACGATATACGTAAAGATATGTGATGAATTATTAGGAGTCCAAATCCTCAAAATATCCATATATATAAGTAAACAAAAAAGATCAGAAACAATATAAGACATTTATCATAGTCCTATTAAGTTGTTGTAGCATGGGAGATCTAAAATATATTTTTCTTCATAAGTTGAAGCCTTGTAAAAATAATATATAAATCAACAAATACTTACAAATTAAAGACTGTTTTCAGATAGTTCCTTCAATTTCCTCTGTCGAAGTATGTGTGGAGAAGGTAAACTACATGTACTTTACTTTGGTTATATTCTTTGCTTGAAAATACACAAGTACTGGAGAAATTTTACGCTTTTGTTTGAATTTGAAATTATTTTATTCTGCATAAATTGAGAAACAAGCTGTCAAAGTGTTTGAAATCCAAAATTATCTGCTCTATAGAGTTTTCATAAATAAAATCATTAGAATTGCACCATCATAATAAATACATCATCATTTTTCAACCTAAACCTTATATAAACCGTTAAGCTTCGCATGCTATGTTTGGTACAGACTTGCAAAATTCAACCTTAATAGAAAACAAAAGACACCCACTCCAGGCTGTGACAAAACTAATTTCATTGCAAGTTTAAATTACATTTTCTAAAATAAAAACTTGTTCAAAAAGGTCGTTAGAAATTACTCAGCGCCGATGAAATATGTGACCCGCCATACAATTTCCATGCAAGCTTATGGAGGTATAACGTCATTTTTATCTTGAGAATCCAGTAGGGTACACTTCAGGTCACAAAGTTGCGTTTAGAAATTGCCTCAGATCACCAAACTCTAGACTTTCAAATGATAAAGATATTAGCAAATATATTTGTCACCGTACGGCTTAAATCATGAGCAAAACCCATACCGCATAAAAAGCTATAGTAGACTTTGCATGATTTCTATCCTCAAAAAATAATGCTTTGACTTATCTCCTATAGATAAATCTGATATCTTTGATGAGAAGGTTTGTCCGATCTGATGTTTCTGAATGTATATACATCGTGTACGGAGACGCACCTCTTCATAAGTATATTGAGATGTGTTATGATTGACAATGTGACAACTATCCGAAGAAACCAAAGAACAAAGATGTCAATAATTACAGGTCACCATACGGTCTTCAACAATGAACAGAACCCAATCCGTACATCAAGTTAAAACAGGAATCGTTGAAACACTATATGATGAAACAACTCATAAGAGAAAACGTCTTATTTATGTAACAAAAAATTTGTTCCGTCGTGACATTTGTTCTTCCGGAACTTATTTCATAGGAAATATGTTCCACCAGAATTTATATCACAGAAAATTTATACCAGGAATATGTATTATAAGAAAATATGTTCCACCTCTGCAAAATATGTTCCGGAACTAATTTTTTTACCAAATGTGAAATAAGTTCTGGAACGAAAATCACAGCGCCATGAATTTTGTTCCAATATTAAATGTTTAA